ATATCCTCCCTTCTTTTTTCATTTGATTATGGTTGAAAGGTAATTTAGAAAAAATTAATAAATATAAGAAATAAATCTTATATTTTTTATCAAAATCAATTCAATAATTAGATCATATATTAAGAATGTGAAGAGTATAATATTTCAGTTTAAACATCTCAAAGGTCAAAATTTTATAGGAAAAAGCAGTGTCTAATTTGGTATTCTACAAATATATGGGGTGTTCGGATTGCAACCAAACCATGGTTTCAGAAGTGATTTTACGGTCTACAAAGCAAATATATAGAGGAGTTTATCTTGATTTACAGAAAATACTTTTAAAAGCATTTCTGAGCGTTTCCAAACACTCTTATAGTCAAATGAATAAACGCTCTTGTATCAAGTTTTTTTTAAAAATGCTATCAAATTTATTATTATCAGTATATTTCTTATCATGATTGTTCAATATCTATTAACTTGTTAATAAATTTTGTTCGATGCAGAGTTATTTTTGTTATTTAGTTATATTTACAAAATACGAGATGAGATATCACTAGTTTTTTGAGATTTCGACTTTTTAAGATTACAATTTTCAGTGTTATTTTCCATATAAATAAAGTGATCTGTTACGATTTTTAATGTGTGTGCAGATTAAAAGAATCAAGTTTATAAAGTACTTAATTGAACAAAAATCGGGGAGACCACGGAAGGAAGGGCGTGGGAGAGACGCCAAGGGAAGTTGAAGATGAAGAAAATTGAAGAGGGGGCCCTGTGGAGGTAGTGGGGTGGGGGATTTGTTGGACTCATTCAACTGCATTGGTCTGCCAATTTAACTCAACCATCTGACTTTGTCAGTTGCTTACTTAACTTGTCAAAGCAATAAAGATTTATTTATTTCATGATTAAGGAGATTTTTTTTTCCTTAAATTATTTTCTGGACGCTAAACCATTAGGCCGTATGATGTTGCCATCAGAATATTAAAAAATGTGCAATGGTGATCCTCCGTTAAGCATTGGTTTTGATGGTTGGCTGATCAGAAAAACTATAAATAAATACCTTGGGAAAATATCACTACCAATTAATTACAAACGAATGCTAAATTTACCAGTTACATATAAGATCAAAATATCATTTTAACCAACTATCTTGACGTGGTAATTCAGTAATTGTGTAATTTTAAATATAACGCACTTCGTTTTACAGAAATTTTACGTTGATGTTAGCTTATTTATTGGCAAGATCATGTACATTGCGTGAATGCAAAATCTAGTTGCTAGTTAAGTTTAAAGTCACACTAACCCTAGAGTGCGATGTGAAACCCACGCACGCAGATGCACGACAAGAACCACGCGCTCTGTCCTCTACGTATATTATCTTCCGTCAATGGTGGACGAGGAAAATGGAAAAATGACGCGAGCGAGAAACTGCAGAAGGCAGAGGGAAAATGTCGAATACAAAAATGCAATATGAAACGGGAGATTCTTAATTCCAACGATAACAATTGACTCCGATTGATTCCGACACAAATGCACAACTATTTCATTTTTTTGGGGTCTAAACACGCAAGTTTCCTCTCACAGTGTTTCTTAGCTTGTTCTCAATTTTATTTTTTATTACATGCAAGTTTAAATTAATTGGATTTCAAAAATTTATTAAGGTTAAGATATATATCCAGACTCATAAAAGTACCTATAAATGTACTAACAAATTACGCATCAATAAATTTCTCACATTGCAGTATAGATTATGAGCCCATTTCTTATCGTCTTGTTAGTTGTCTATCTTTTTTAATGGTGTAAATTACATGTCTCTTTTTTTGTTAAAGTATAAGTGTCCTTCTTTTGGAAGCAATCCTATTTGAGACACTGTCGGGCACTAAATGTGGACACCTCTCCCAACGGGGATTCGAATCTTGATTCACCACATTATGGGAGATTAACCATTTCTGCTAGACCCAACTCCTGTTGGTAATTATATGTCTCTTGACATCAATGGAATATTGATTTATCCTTGGAAGTTTGGGGAGCCCAACAGGTTGCAAGCAAGAGGCAAGTTGATGAAAGGGGTTGTCTCAGCCACGTTATAGTTTGATAAGAATGCATAATAATGATTTAGGGAATGGGGGCAAGCTTCTGAAATTTCCACGCACCACAGTAAATGCTTTAATGAGAATACAAGTAGAGAAGGTTAAGTAACGATGTATTATTTTGTTTGCGTGCGTATGGGGAGAATGGGTAATTAGAATAAAAGGCGAAGTTAATGAGAAAAAGACATGCAGCTAACCAGCGTAGAGATGAAAGAGACGGTGTTCTGATTTTCATAAATAGGGAAAGATGAGCCAATGTTAGGCCAACAATTTCATGTGTGTGGGGTGCATACATGGCAGGTGACTAAATTGGAGGGGTACAAAGTCGCAAGGTGCATAATTAAATAAAGAAATTGGGCACCAACTCTGTTTCTTTTTTTACCCTTTTTATCCTCACTGTTGTGTAATGTCTAAAAGAGGAAGTTGTTTACCATCCACCAATCATAAATATATGATATCAAATTTATAACGAGTATGCTGTTTATAAATTAGGAAAAGGTGAGCTTACTCTATAGAAAGAGAACTAAACAGTGACAAGCATAATAAAAATTACATATAAAATTTGAACTTATTACTTTCGTTTCTAAATATAAAAGTCAGTTAATTAATTTGTAAACATTAAAAAATTATTTTTCAGTTATATGCATCAAAAACTGCCTCTCTTTGAATGCCCCTTAACATGCATTAAAGAGAATTTGGTAAAAAAAAAAAAAGAGTTTAGGAGACAAAATAAATTGATCTCTTATATCTATCATGAAAAAAATAATTCTATATTGATTAGCTTTTTTATATGAGTAGAGTTTTGTGTTGATTTAGGTAAAGATACTACCTTTGAGAAGTTGAAACAAACACACATAGAAAACAATATATTCACTGAATAATGTAGACCAATAATAGAATGAGAAGCAACCAAAAAGGACGGCAAAACCAAAATATCAATCCTCCGGTCTGCCAATATTAATTTTTAATTATCAAAACATGTAATAAAGAAATACTTGTCGCTGGCAATAAATTTTAAAAAAAAAAAAAACTCGTCACGCATCTTCTGACTTTGAACAAAAGCCAAGGTCCCACCCCCCGGAACTGGGGAGCAACACCCTTCAAGATTCTTCACTTTTTAACCATCTATACCTTCGAATCTTGCCTGTTTCTAGAAAATCTTTCACAAATGCATACATATATGTATATCTACGCATATCATGCAAAGCATACATGAACCATCAAAACTGATGACTTTCGTGATGGCTCTACTTCTCTAAATTAAATTGGCCCTTTTTTTTTTTGGTGGGGGTGGGGGGGGGGGGAGGCACGTCTATTAACTATAGCATTCTTTTGGCCAAAAAAAAACCTATAGCATTCTAATTTCATTTGCTTGGCAAGAACAATATAACCTTACAGACCAGCCTCATATAGACCCGTATTGCCAACTTGGGAAACAAGTCTCCCAATTTTTTCAATTCAGAAGGAGGGGCCGTTCAACAAGAGTTGCTACTCCTATTAATGGCCGGGCCATGTCAATTGATTGATTCTTTCCCACATTAATTTATGGAGCAGAATCAAATTATGTGAATCAGAATCAATCTACATATATCCTCCTACTAATTCTAATTATAAGACCCTGTTTATAAACTACAAGTGCAGTCATATAATTAAGACCGGAGGTAGTATATATGTCCCTCTATCAAAGAAGATGCATGGGTGTCATGATGCGGTGGCAATTTATGGTAGAAAAGCCTGAGATATAGGGAGATTTTTTGGGCATAAAATTAGTGATAAAGTATGGATTAGAAGAACATTAATTAGGGGAGCGGAGGCAAAGTGGGCAGTCTCTCCCCCATGGTTAGGGAGCAATAATAATAAGATTGCTGGGGCTTAAAAGACACAGTTCTTTTCTCTTCACATGGGGCTGGCGGGTGCTTGCCCCGCTTTTGATTAGGGTTCTCACCTAATATTATACCAAAGCGTGTCCCTTAAATCTCGTATCCTTTTATTATAATACAATTATTGTGTCTAACAAATGCTTCCGGGTGTCTGGCTTTCACGAAACCCTCCATTTTCAGTCTCTAATAATTTTGCCGCTCATGATTTTTATTTTCCGTGAGAACCTTCGGGGTGGATGCCATTTCCATTCATTACATAAACGTATCTTAAAAGGATATTCTTTTGATATTGATTTTTTTTTTAATTACTTTTAAACTAGCAAGAATGTTGACCGCAGATGACGACTTTTTGTCACTCGATTTTCGTATGAAATTATTATAAAACCCGCATAAATTCTTCCCCTTTAAAAATTTGAAACGGTCAGACCTGAGGGAAATTTGGCGGAAGCATATGGGGAAAGAAAGTGAAAAAGGAGCATAAAAAAAATCATATCACATCATTATTATAATAATGAGAAAAAATTACAATTAGGTTCCACCTAACAAAATTAAATATAAAAAATCTCTTAAAATCATGAAATTATTTTGAAGTCTCAAAATATCTTATTGTAATAAATTTCATTTGTTTAATTACCAAATTATTTTTTTTAAAATTTACACTGACAACTAAAAGAGGAGTAGTTGATAACTAAAAATGTAAAGATTGACAACTATCGCGACATGTATTGACAATTTATGCATTATATCTTGTGATGTGCTGAGAAAATGTGTTGTTAATACCTGTCGTAATAGTTATCAATCTTTACATTTTAAATTGTCAATTACTGTTTTTTCAATTGTCAGTACAAACTTAAAAAAAACAATTTAATAATTAAACAAAAAAATTTATAGTAAAAAAAATCTCTTAAACTTTTGAATAATTTTATAATTTCAAAAGACTTTTTATATATAATTTCCTCTAGTGAGACCTAATTGCACTTTTCCCTATTAATTATGTGACTTGACTTTGTATATTCTGAAATTGTGCCTGCCACATCTCCTTGTTTTCCTTTTCTTCTTCCGCGGGCTTCACATCACGCAGACAGATGCCTTTGGTCCAATTTTATAGTGTTAATTGTGGGCCGGGCTGCATAAATTGCTTGGCCCAAAATAAGGCGCACGTGGGATTCAAAGTGGGGCCGCCATGCTGATGGGAAAAATGACTCGATTTACAGAAATTCACGTCAAATGGAAGGGCTAGAAAAAGCTATGGGAGTTTACACAAGCATCACATAAAGAAGTGCAAGCTAAACTGGGTTCATTTCCTTCACATCTTGTTCTAGTGGAAAGCATGTCAAGTACTGGGTACTAGTGCTAGATTATTCCTGTCCTCGAGGGCAATTCGTGGCCGCGGCCGCGGTTGCGGTAGCGGTCGCTGCCGCGGTTGTGGTAGTGGTCGCTGCCGCGGCCGTGGCAGTGGCCGTGCTGGTGGTGGTGCATGCCTTGAATCTTTTGACTGTAAACGATGTCGACGCTCCCTCCCAAAAATAATCCAGAACACCAACGACAGCATCACGGCTGTGGCCACCATTACCAACCCAGCATACACCCATTTGCTGTAACGTCGCAGATCAGGACAGTGATCCTTGGATATCTCACTCAATGTTTCTCGAACAAAGTTACAGTTTTGAAGGTCAACCAGGGATGGAGCATAGTTATACAAGGCATTCCCCGAGTTGATTGCAGCAGACACTTGGTTATAAAAGGTAGGGGTCAAACGCCCTTGAGTCATGCATATCTCATTTGGTGAAACCTGACACACGAAGTTGCCGTACACCTGCATTTCATCAACACAACGTGAGCACTCAGATCATCTTCAGGAGGAGAAAGATAGGTCACTGATCTCGTGTGTCGTTGGTTTAAGGAGATTGTGGTTAAATACCTGAGTAGCATTGGTTAAGGTTACTTCACCAGGTTCGCATTGTCGATCTGTCATGTCAGGATGAAAAGGGTTGCAGAGGAGAGGCATAAGGGGGCCGGATTGATTGTAGTAGAGTGGAGTGAAGTTGGGGGCGAAATTTATGTTTGATACGTTGGTGATAATCTGGTTAACCAAGTTAACAAGTTCAGAGGTTACTTCTTTGCTTCTTGACAAGGTTTCTTGCGCCGTTGTATTGTCCAAACAAGGCATTATTTCGTCCATCGTTGTATGTTCGGAGGGAAGCTGGGTCCATTGATCTATAGCTACACAGGTGTCTGCAGTCACACTGGCAGCAAACTAGGAATTAGATTCGTGTTTAAGAATGCATGAAGATGTAGCGGGATCCTGTAACAAAGAGTTGAAGGAATTTATAACTCAGAACTTCGAGGAAAGAGAGGAAGGGAACTTACTTATGGAGCAGAAGGAAGCAGCCACATAAAATAAAAGCACCGGTAACCAGAATCCATCCTGCGATCACCAAGCTGCAATTATTTATGTCAAAGCATTTGATGAGAAGGGAAAAAAAAAAAAACTCTAAATGCAGTTGTGTCTACCAGAGATAGGGTAACGAGATTCAAAGAATATTTCACTTACATGTACACGAGAAGCTGCAGTCCAAAGATGGAGAACACTGAAGTAACAAAACCATAAATGAATACCGTATTAAGAATTAAGAAATTCAGCAGCATTACGGACACTGAAGGGACTTACAAAATCCGAGGAATGTCAAGAGTAGCATAACAGCAGCTACTATGATAAGTGCCACCCTTCTGTCAAGTGTCACCATATTCATGTCAGAGGGAGAGGAAAAAAGAAAAGATAAAACAAAGATGGAGAGAAACACATAATCATTACACAGAATCTAAGAGATCTTGGATGTCATCCGCATTTTTTTCAGTTTGATCAGCAAGCGTGCTAGCAGAAGCGTTGATCTTTGTTTGGACGTCGTCGATATCAGTTTGAACATTAGCGGGGAGGAAAACTCGATCAATTCCAACCTGTTTAGCTTGAACAAGATAGTCAGATACATTTCTGAGTTTACCCTCAGCAGAATCAGCCTGACCTACAACATACTCCAATGTTGTTGTCGTACTACGATGAAAGCTTCCCTGACCAACATAGAGAATGAAACATCCAATCCTGTCAAGTGTAAAAGCATGGTATCAGTTTGCAATGCAAGATCGAATCAACCTGAAACCAGCCAAGAGAAAAGAAAAGAAAGGAAAGAGGGATGTACATTGCTACGAAAGAGAATAGTATGAGGAGAATGAGGGAAACGGCATAACATGTTGGAGAATAACCATAAGAATCTCTTTTAGGAAAGAAGCAACAGAGACATATGAGCAATAAGCACACGCCAAAGCCCAGGAACCAGATTGCTGCGACAACAAACACAGGAGCTGCGGTATATGCTGCAGACTGCATTCAACAAGAATAAAAGCAATTAGTGGGCTGTGTTTATGGACAGACAGAATTTAAGGCCATGCATTGGATTATAGCACTGAACTTAGAAAAATAAAATTTCAAAACAAGAGAATGCACATAGAATGTCATCAGTCAGAACATAGAAATCATCAATCATGACCAAGGGCAGCACCTTTAATTTATCTGTTTGGTTTTGGAAATATAAACTGGCTTAAAAATCTCTGTAAGACAGCCAGCCCCACCAAATTAAGGAACAAGAAAGAAAGAACACTGATTAGGCAATATTTATTTACAAAACTTCATTTATACTTCCTAAAAAAAGTTTCACCTAATTGTCTATTTGTAGCGGATCTATTTTTATTTCAAACTTCTCCATGAAACTTCTCATGAGTTAAAATTATAATACTTACAACCTCAAACCAGAGTCCAAAAGCCCTCCCAAATCAGCTTGCTTTTCCAAACACCAGTTGCGCCATCACTAAGAAATCACACTAATCGTTTCTTACTTCATTGTCTCAGTGAAGCACTCATCCTAAAAGCTTAAGTTTGTTAGGTGTAGAGCAAGGACTCTATTTATTATCACACCTAACACTTTCCATTACTGCCCGTCTGTCATTGAGCTTGAAATATTACACAAGTGTTTTCCGCCTTCTTTTTAGAAAAAAGAAATAGCGTAATGTGCTGCACGGATTTCTTTTCAAGGTCCAGAAACGAAAAGCAGGCGCAAACTTTTGAACTTGACCGTCATAATAGATCAAATATTAACCGGCAATAAAAGGATATCACACACATCAGCTAACTTACAGCCCAGTAATGGTGGTCTCTGATGTTCCACCCGTTGGTGTACTTTTTGAACCCATTAAGAGGGTCATCCCTTCGTGTTCTCTCTGCAGCTAATGGAATGGGTGAATTCCCAAATGGAATGGGTGAGTTCTGAAATGGATTCGGTGAGTTCACAAATGGGTTGGGCGAGTTCACGAAGGGGTTGGGTGAGTTCACGAAGGGGTTGGGTGAGTTCACAAAGGGGTTGGGTGAGTTCACAAATGGATCGGGTGAGTCCTCAGATGGTTCTGCAGCACTGTCATCTAAATGGGACCTTTCTGTCAGGTAAAAACCCACAACATTGTTCTCATTTTCTCCCGCTGAAAAAAACAAAGGAAATTAGAGACAATGCCTCTCTGCCAAAACATTTTATGCACACCTAGACATGTAAATCCTTTTGCCTTGGCGAGTATAAAATGCAAAACTAAAATTTAATGGAAGAATGAGGCTATCAACAAAAACTGGAAATACTACTCTGCACTGCATTATGAGTTTCCCACTACTCTTAAGAGTTTCATAACTATAAACAGAGAGAAATCCACCGGAAAGAGTGGTGATGTTAGTGAAATACCTGGAATGGGTTGGGTCCGGACTAGTGAAAAATGAGAGCGAGGTCGAGAAGCTGCGTGTGAGAGAGAAAGGAGAGAAAAGAGAAGTAAGAGAAAGGTGGCCAGAAAAGAAAAATGGCGCAGAGGCCGGTGACAAAGCATCATGTTTTAGAGGAACAGAGAAGAAAGAGAAGACACTACAAATGCAGTATTCGCTGCCTCTAGCAACCTCTCTGCCTCTGCCTGTGTGAGAGAGTGACGGAAACAGTCACACAGAAACAGGGAAGAAAGCTCAATAAAGAGTTAACGGTAATGATAATATGGGCTTAGCGCGTCGGATACTCCCAATATTTCATTCAGCCTACCCCACCACTAGCCTATGCCAGGAAATTCAATCATACCCTGTAAATCTTATTGTTATAGATTAATGAACCTTGGGATGTGTTCATGCAAATGAACAAGGGACCTTTTTTTTATTATTATATCGATAAATCATCTAAAAAGACTCTCTAGAGCTGTAAACCATTTCATTGTCATATCATGTTGCCTCGTGTAAACCATTTCTCCAGTGTTTTAGTTTTACTGAATTCTGCAGCATTTACTATTTACGAATCTAAGGTGGCATGGTAATGCGAAGCAACAAGAGAAGGTAAAGACATTTCTTTTATTTCCTTATAACAGAGAAGGACAACTCAATTGCATTTCTCTGATTATGTGAAGTGAAACACCAATTACTATAATGAAGATACTATGATGTAACATAGCTGCGTAACGGTGGTAATCATAAATGAAGCATTGTTTAGATTAAGGGGTGGGTCCACATTGCCTTTCAGAAGGGGAGAAAGGTCAAAAGTGAAGGATGATTCCTATGAGATGTAATCCATAAAGGGGAGAGGGTGAGGCCCCAGACAGCGTGCGAGCAATCGGACTGGGGGGGTTCATTCCCCAATGTTGTACCTTTCTCTCCTGTTACACTGCTACACTTTTGACTTTACAAACCCAACATCTCTGCCGGTTTTTCTGCCCTTTTCTCTTTCCCGCCCTTTACAATTACGACAAATACCAACACAAACGGCTTGTTTTTCCCACCCACCCACACCCTGTAACTTTATATATCTGGTTATTTTCTGTAGATGTTCATTTCAAGTCTTTTTATGTATTGACATGACCTTAAGCAAATTCATGATGAATGATGATAAATCATCTACTGGGTACCCGAGAACAGAGATGATGCAGGCCAAGATGAATGGAGGAAGAAGCAACGGCGTAGGAGGAATGGTACGTGCTATTATTTCAGTCACGAGAAGATGCACATGCATGCTGCTGCTGTTAATATTAAAGTTGATTTTTCTTTTGTTTCTTTATCAATGACTTTTGGTACTTCTAATTTCCTACAGGGCTCTGAAATGAGAGAAAAATGACGCAAAAGTCGATAGCCTGCAGCATGGGTCCTTCTCAGTTTCATCCAAAGGGAAATCGTCTTTGAGATCATTTTCAACCCATCATCATTTTCTTCCTTCTTGACATATAATCATGTTAGACTTTTCTTTACAAAATATGCAAATCATCCCATGTCTGATAACATCCCCTGATTTGAATTCAAACTGGTTGCGTTTTAGTTGAAGAGAAACTATTATATGTGGTTCCTTGGGAACATTGGTCACCTTCACCGACTTCGTCATTTCCCTTCCCAAAGGATGCCACGTGCCTGTAGCTCTTCACACGCAATCCCAGCACCTCTCAAATCTTCATGTCCTCTTCCATGTTTACAATCTTATCATTCATCCTACGTTCCTTCTTATATATCACAACTAAGTTGTCACTGAAATGAATATCGGGAAGGCGAACCACACCTCGAGTTTTGTCGATTTAGACTCTGTTTAATCCACCATTATTATCAGTGGGACAAAATTTTATGCCCCATCACTGCGAGCTCTACTACTGCAGGGATTGCGCTCTCTTCTACCAACGGAGCGTAATCTTAGCCGACTTCATTCTCTCTGCTACTTACACGCCATTCCGGGGACCGGCTAGGAAGATGGCATCTGCAGCATTTTTCTTCATGAAGCTCGAACATGGGGACTATGACCTTCCATGGGATGGAAATTAACAGCTTCACAAATTCGGACATGCAAATTTGACCAGAAAATGTGCATGTGGCATGTTATAAATTAAAACAAGTAACTCTGTAAAGATAAGCCACCAAGGGCTTCTCTTGTGCTAAAATGCACGTTGGTGAGAGCAAATGAGTAATGCGAAGCGCCAGAAAATGAGATTTTGCGAAACATTCTAGCTTGTCGAAAATGATGTTTATCGAAATCTTTGATCTGCGCCATATGTGTTGTCGAAAGTCCATCAGCATTCTGATCCACACCTCATCCTTATTCTGATTATTCACTCTCTTGCTCGTTAAAAACCAGTGAACCAATCTAACCAAGAAGAGCGGGATGTGATTCTTCAACATTATAATGTCCCTGAGAAAGGCGTGGTGCATAGGTTTTCGATCTTCCTGTGAGGTCAATCGAATGGGTACTTCTAGTAGGAGGGCCTTCACAACTCTTAACAGTGGAAAAAATTGAACTTGAGGGTGCTCGAACAAGAACGGTTCATCAAATGGCGAACCACCAAGAGCCTCGCTCGTGGAAGTAGCGATGATAGTTAGTGCATGCTCAAAGATCGTGTTTGGGCAATATGGTTGACCAATTCGTGCGATTTGAGGTCGTTGTAGAAATTCTTTTGAGAATTTTTTTTATTTCTGTCGAACAAATGGTGCCATGATATCTTTAGGCTAACGACGTCCTGGTCATCTTCACAATTTTCATCCTCAGTCGTCTTGTTCCAGAGCTCGCTTCAGGTTCATGACCCGCCCACGATCAAGCCAGCAACATTGCATACGATATTTAGGACAGAAGGAGTATATATAGATAGATAGAGATAGAGAGAGAGAGAGAGAGAGGAATAAACAACTTTTTTTGGTCGTTATGGGGTAAATAAAAGAGTTAATGAGCGTTTCCCAGTTTTCATGAGCCGAACCTCGTTTTACACACACAAACATACAAGTGATTGCAATGAGGCATGGCGCGTGCACGCCCTTCGTTAATGAAAAAAACACTAATTTGTCACTTGAAAAAACACCTTGTAAAACCAATGCATCGAACGGAGATTCTGGCTATTTTATATAAACCCCAGCTTTTGAATTAACTAGACAACTTCTGACAAATTTAAAATTTAATTTGATAACTCATCAGTAACATTTGACATAAACCCTACCTTTTGAATTAATTAGATTAGATAAGTTATTACAACAATGCAGCTGTGGCCACTTTGAAAACGAGGGACATACCCACCAGTTGCTTAGCATAGCCTTACAACAACAACGAACTCGCTACTGTAAACTATGAACAGCAATCATTAAACTCAATCATAGATATTGGGTAAACAGCATAGTCCTGCAGCCACATTGAGGCTCGAAACCATCATCAAGTCAAGTTTTTCATGGCCTCCCCTATGTGAGGGTATCGATGAGCCCAACGAGAGTAACCTGCACAATATTTGAGTTACAGAGAGCCATAAATCAGAAAATCTACGTGTAAGAATGAAAAGTTCCACCTATTCGCCCCTCAGCCAAAGGTATCTTTTTTATTCCTATCTTGTTTTGTTTTGGTTTTTGATCACCTAAACAACGCAGATGAGTGGTATTGTACCTGCAGCAACAATCTCTATAAGATCCATATCTGCTTCAGTATCCTGCAGTGAATAATGTCAAACAATCAAGTAAAATGAGTTAGTTGAAGTCAATATAGTAACTGTTAAATGGCAAATAAGTTAAAAGACAGGGTAACCACATCTAAGGAGAATGAGGAGGATATAAACAGGAAATAGAATATCGAATTCATGTCTTACAATAATGAGCAGCATCAATTACAGGTAATCGCAGATTTTGATGTGTGCACGTGAGACATTGCAAGATATACAAATATCCAGAATTTTAAAAAAGTCTTTTTCATTTTTACAGGAGGGGAAAAAAGGAACAAGAACGGGTGAACGCAAGGTCATTTACAACTCACCTGTCCAGATGAAGCCTGACATCTAGCGATCAGCCGATAAAGACTGCGAAGATCGCTGTGGTTGAAATCAGGATGATTCAGAAGAGACTCTTCAGAAGTGTAATCAAATATCAGCGCGCAAATGCTTGAAGCCATCATCATACTTGATGTGTCTCCAGCGTTCTCTACAGGCCAAGTTTCAGTAACTAAATTAATTATAGACCCTCTGCTTCATTTTTTTCCAATTCAAGAGAAAAACAATTGACATCAATGTCCATCAATATATCGTATAAATATGCACGAAGTGGAACCCATATTATTCACAAGTAATGCAGAACATATGCTTAACATCTAGTTGATCATAAAACAAAAATTAATCAACAGAAAATATTAATTATTCTAAGCATATTTACAGGTCAATTCAAACAAATCATCAATTGACGTCTGAGTTGGCTTATAGGTCTAGGGGCTCAATCTTGTTAATAGGCCAATCTTTTGGAAGAGGATCGCCCCTGCAGTCATAACATATTATGAAATATACGATACGGGACCAGCAAATCATTCAGTTTAAAGGTTGTTACAAGAGAGACAGGTACCTGCCCAATATGCCAATGCCTTCAGAATTTTGACAATATCAGATTCCTCAAACGTCAACTGTAATTTGTCTTTCTACAGTGAAAAAGGTGCAGCTTATATCAAGATCTCACAGAACCAGGGTGATATCCTAAAAGGTTAGGATGGTAAGAACATCACCTTTAGCAGGAGATTCATGATTGTATCACATGTCAAGAAGACACCGCCATTATCCTCAACCATATAATCTTTTGACCCGATTAATTTAGTAAAGCAATCCAGAACCTGCATATATACCCAACATATTTGCAGATCGAAAAATGCTTGATTATAAATGCTATTGGACGATGCTGAAGTAAGAAATCTTTAGAAATCTTTAAGTCATTTGTTCTAATAGAAATTAAGGAAACAAGAAACACTAAAACAATGATTCACTCAAAAAGAGCTACCCATATATGAAGGTCCACCTTCATACTTTAAAATCAAAATAGTAGCACAAGAGACAAAATAGAAGAAGCGAAAAGATGAAGGAAATTAACAAAGGCCAGAAAGAATAGAAAATAAAGTATAACTTACAGCATTTAGTCCTCCACAAGAAGCTAGAACATTACATCCTTCAACATCCATTGTAATTTGGCACAGCATTGGAAGTAAAAAGCAGACAGAGTGGAAAGGGCTGCAACAATATATAATTTAATTGAGCAAACACAATTTTCCATATTAGAGACTCCACCGAAAAGGGATACATATATCAGAGGAAAATATAGAGTATTCCATTTAAGTGCATGATTGAAGCCAGGCGTGCCATCCAAATACTGAACAGGTATAAGCAAAAACATAGCCAGACAAAGTCTTTCAAATGATATATATATCCAGGTCTACCTCTGTTCATCTTCTCCTTGAACAGAGAGCATATACCCTAAAAGTTCCCGAACCTTCTCCTTGCATGCAAGGGGCGCCTCAGCCAGGTAGCTGAAACAAACACATGAAAAAGAGTTCAACACCTTTCCTCTTCAAATCAAAGAACTCGGCCAGATTCCAAGCTTGATACTATCATATAGTTCATATTAACTACTTCTCCAGTCTTTAATATAGGATCTAATTGTTGAGTTGATTTTGGTCCTAAATATAAGACCTATTTCTCATATTTATCAATTTTTTCTAAATTACCCTTATAGATACTCCCTCAACCATGATTAAGTAGAAGAGAAAGGGGGGATATTAAGGAAGATGATTATGGTGTTTTAAAAAAAAACATTATATTTCTTATAATTAACTAACTTACCTAACTTCTTTAATCTAATTAAATTAGTTAAATAGGTCTTATATTAAGGACCGGAGGAGTACCATACAAAGAATGTAATATCTAACATGAGTTGAGACTAAATAATGGTCCAGCTGTTTAAAACTGCAAGAACAAAGTGTCAGTATATCAAATCCTAATGGTTCATCTAACGTAACAAAAACTCCGACTATGTTAGACAAGCAGCATAAGACCATACCTCCCTATAATCCGCACTGAAGCAAGTAAATCATCCCCTTTATTCTGTCCACGTTCCTGCATGATTACGCTTCAATGCTGAGTGAGAAGATAAATGTCAAGCATCTATTTAATGACTACCAGTCATTAGCAATACCTTTGCATCTTCCAGATACTCTAGAATAACACCAATAGTCTCGTTCAGCTGACGGATCAACTTTGTTAATGTTGCCTCATCAACGAAGTTGCCTAAAAGATTATCAACTATATGAATGATTTTACAGAGATCAGAAGATCCAAAATATTTTAGGCCACTAATCACCATGTCTATTATCTGGACTATGCTACATGTATGCCGAAATGAAACCCAAATGCAGACATTACACAGATAACTATGATGATGAAAATCAGAAATGTGTTACTTGACCCTAAACAAACAGAAGTTTTCAATCATGTCAAGATCTACATTAGTTTCACATCCTCAAGCAATCAGAACTCAAATATAGACGTGCCTACTTAGATGAGATCTTTTTTTTTGTTTTTAATAAAAAAAAGGTCATGAGTAAGGTGCACCTCATCGCTTTGCGGAAATAAAGCGCCTCAACATGTTATACGAATAAGGCTAACTGCTGTTTATGATTTTAACCATTCACATAATGTTCTAAAATAAATATCATGGTACTACAAATCAGTCCTCCGACAATTATATTTGGAGCATACTTTGATTGCGTGTGGTGCTAAATATCAGATGGACTTTCACACCAATGAGCGGCATGTACAGTAAATGACCACAAGTGAATGCTACTTTAACCTACATTAACATAATTCGGGGCAAAATAAAATAGAAAGCCCATCGTATAACCTTCTTTATAGGATAGCAACGGAGTATAATGTCAAAGAAACTAATTTCTAATGACATACCATCATTTCCATCGACAGTTGATATTAATTTTATTATTTTCTCAATCAAAGAGTAGGCAACAGCCACATTTCGTCGCTTCAAGAGAATTGCCTCTGCAGTAGCTGAAGTATCCTTAGGTGCTTCATACTTTAGATAGGCCAACTCATTCAGAAGAACAGCAACTTCAACCCGTGATTGCTCCAACACAAGTAATAGACACCTATATAATGGAAGAGGTGAGGAAAGATATGACGGTTGATGCATTTTAGAAGGTTAAATTTAAAGAGTGCAACTGACATGTCAGTCGAAGGGCTATCTTGGGCATCACTCGTGCTCCTGTGGTTGATCAGCCAACCCTCTCCAAAATTGGAAATGATAGACTCCGCCAACATGAGAGCTTGAAGCCTTTCAGCAGGAGCTGCAGAGGAATTACAAGTTTAAAACCCAAGTCATCAAACAAAATCATACGTTTTCTTTAGCACTTTCTTCGTTTAATTAAAAAAATAGCTAATAAAAAGCAAACTGTAATAACAGAGTATCTAGCAAGGTTATTCTACATACCAACCCGATTCTGCAAAATGGCCACAATACCAAGGCGCATATCATGTGACCAGCTATCATTAGGAAGTAAACGGAGGGCATTGAAAAGCGGCACCTACAAATGCCATGAACTTTCAGTTACTCCCAAGCCACATGAATCAACATGCATATGCATAAAATAGAAATTTTAACCCCGTAAACATCCCCCAAAAAAATCAGTTTGATTCACGTGTTTTCCATATGGCAGAATACAGAAGTTATTCTTGCAAGAACTATGAATAATTAATTCAAGTATGAGGCTATGTTACAGATATATATTGATTGCATTTTTATCCTAGGTTCCTAACTCACAAATGTTCCGAACCTATACTGCAATTAACTGGCTAACAAATATGGTGACCAACTTCATATCCAACCACAACTCGGTCAATATTGTTGCTTAAACATGAACCCAATATATAGTAAATTTCAGTGGTTTAGCTGAATTTAAAGAGTTTTCTTATTTGAACAATGTGATTTTAAATCATAAAAATTCACATACGAAAGCAGAAGACTAAGATACATACTACATCTTTTGAAGAAATGATGGCACTAAGCACATGGAGAGCTTCAAATTTCAAGGAGTTGTGCAAGACAGCAAATTGCCTTGCCACTGCTGCCACCTGTAGAGACACACACACACCCCATAGCTTAAGAATCACATTTAAGGGTATCTGCCATGCAGCAAGACTGCAAAATTTTTATTTGAAGAAACGAAATATTTAAAATGTATACTCACAAATCGCAAGTTCAGATAAGTAATCCTTCATGAAAACGTCCAATGGTATCCTGCTCAGAATTAGTTCCACAAGTTTAAGACAGATCTCCATGAGATGAGAACCTGCATAATGTTTGGCTCATCAATTCTAAGGCAGAAGTGAGACGGGAAAAGAAAAAAAAAAGCAACATAAGCCATCAAAGGCAATGTTTCTTCATCTATATGCTGCAAGAGGACAGCCCCTCGAAGAAAAGTGAAGCTAGTAATATTATTGATCCTAAATGAATAATCAATCAACCATACCAGTTTAATTATGTTCCTTTTGCCTCGAACCCAAGAAATCATAAGAAAAACTTACCATCTTGCATAGAACATATCTGAGCAGCTAATATCTTGACACCACCAGATTCGTAAAACTTCATACTTCCATTCGCAGAAGCAGTTGACACTAAGTACAAAAATTCATAGCATTCTTCAAGGACAGATGAACCTGGTCTAAACAAGTGATTTAACGATTAAAAAAAATCAACAATTACTACTAAAAACAACGTAAAAATAAAAAATCAAATATATAACTAGACTGCTATTTTCTTTTACCCTCAATACAGCAGATACGGAAAAGACCTCGTGCAACCCGGTTGGGTTTCTCATTCACTCTATACATGATAAACAATCAATTGAACCCGCCTTTGAAAACTTATTCAATAAGCACAAATCATAGGGGCACAACCCGACCATAACAAAAACATTAAAAAGGCCACATGAAGTTCTAATGAAGACCAAAAATATCATCCATCGATATCAAAATAGCTTAGAAACAACAGATAGTGAGGCCCTGTTAATCATCTATTAACTTCTTCTCAAAAGCACTTCTCGAGAAATAATAGTTTCAGAATCCCAACATCTAAAGTCATTAGTGGAGAGGATGAACAGAAGCCAAAATATTGCTCTCCAAAATGCATTGTCAATTAGACTACTTATCAGCTATAAAACTATTTTACACTTTGTGCCGCGTCCATTTCTTTTAATTCCCTTTCTTCTTTGTTAGTCCATAACATAGTAGCCATAGCAAATTGAAATTCAATGAGCATGGTTATGTCAATGAAAGCATACTGGACATTGATTTTTAAATAAAATAACACAAGAAACTAAAACTGAAAATCATACTCCGTGGACATTACTTCCAATATAAGTGGGATTTTCAAAACCATATCTTCCAAGGATGCAACCTCTGGAACACGACAAAATGCGGCGAGCACTGTAACTGAGAGGTGTAAATACGCATCCCGATCATTTTCTCGGCCACTGGTGATAGTTCCTTTTCCCATTCCTGGGGGGAAGCATGGTTATAATTCAATAATAAACGCTAAAACAGAAAACGAAAATTGAACAGCTTTAAGAAAAGGCAGGCCTGTATAAATAATAATCAAGGTAGCAAAAAGTTCAGGGATGAGCGTACCTGTCCTAAGCAGTCGGTCAAGAAAGAGAGGTCCCACGGCATCGTAAACCCTGCGGAGGGAGGAGAGGTCATCACCTTTGCAAAACTTGGTGACGAGAAGAAGGCCGGCAAGGCGCTGTTCGTCTCGTTCCCCTTTCAATAGCTTCAAGCAGTCTTCAAGACTTGGACCCTGCTCTTGCTGTGCTTCCTGCAGGAAACGAAAATAATAATTTAGAGGGGGGAGTAATGGAGGAGAGGCAGAGCAAGAGACAATGTTCACCATGGAAGATTGGTCGAGTAATGGAAGAATGTAAAGTTGGAGACTTTATCAGTTCTCCACTCCGAGAGTAGCTATGGGAGAATTCTCGAGAGCCCTGCCTGCCGCTTAATTGAGAAGAGAGTGTCGCGGCCCGGATTAATTTGCCAGATTTGTTTGGGCAATGAAAAAATTACCAAGTAAAACTGAAAGTTCCAACGTGAAAATTTGGATTCAAGGTTAACACTTAACAATAGAAATCAAATAATGAGCTTCACATGCTCGTTATTGTTCTTAAGCCATTTTAGCTTTCACACGGCTCATGTTGACGAGGAAAACTAGTTAATTGTTAGTCATTCCAACCACAAATATTGAAATTAGATTACCAGTTTATTAAGATTAACAAAATAAATTAAGTTAATTATTTATAAAAATATATATATTATTCGTTTTTAATCACTTATATCAAACATTACTCATTAATAAGAATTTGCTTTTAATTATATGATAATAAGAATAGTTTATGAAGAAAAATATAAATTTAGAAGATAAATCAGACTACGATAATAAATATAAGATGAAAGCAACATTTTAAGTACTGTTCTCATATTTAGAAAAGCATCTTCGGTAGTTCACAGCTGTGTCATTGCCTTTTTTTTAAAAAAAAAAAAAAGTTCAATGACTTTGCGACTATAGTTTAAAAGAGACACTATTCATCTTTTCAGTTTTTTTTTTTTTTCTATTCTCACTTGGCTACGGTTGCCGATGAACATGAAACCGGAAAAACAAATCAAACGAACTCTAAACTGAGAGAATTCCAATTCACAATTTACAGCTAACAAAGTTGATGACAATAAAGTAACAGCCACTCACAACAAGAATTTGTGGTTGCAGTGACAGAGTGGTGACAGAATGACAAGGATGTTGGAGAAAGTTGTTGGTGACGACTCTGAACATGCAATTTTGGAAGCAAAACCCGCTCAAACATGCACGTTTTAAACCCATTCTCTCTCCCTTCCAGAACCTCCCATGTTACATATTGAAGGATTAGATTGAAAGGAAAAAGGAATCAGTAGAATGGAGAGAGCGTGTCGGCAAGAATCATCGTTGCGGCGTAGGCTAAAATTGAGGTTGAGGGTGTGTTGTTTGTGCGGCGGCATGGTTGGGAGGCATCGTCGTCTGGGAGAAATAAAGAGTCCAGGAACGCCGTCAGCTTCAATGTGGCGGGCGAAGTCGCGCAAGCACCACCGCCAATTTCGATCTGCTGATTTTACGTACGACCCTTCAAGTTATGCCCTCAACTTCCAGGACGACGACCCTGGCCTCCATCATCATAATTTTCCCTCCAGCTTCTCGGTTTTCCCTCACACACCTCCCCCGTTATGATCAACCACACTAGCCTGCAAAGGCACATTCTCTGTCTTTTCCTTAATCCTACCTTAGTCACATACCTTGCTGACAAATTATATATTTATGAGTATGAATATGAATGTGATCATGGTTATTTCAAGTTCTGCTTTTTCCTTTTACTCCCACCCCCACCATCTAACAACGCTTCTGTACTTTTGATTCTGTGATGATGCTTTCATAAGTATTTTTACTATTTAATACGAGCATGTTACTTCGGATACGTTAGGTTTACAAACTATGGAATCTGAGTTTCACTCTGTTCTTCTTTTTTTTTTTTGTCAGCCTTGCTTTTTGATACTCCTCCGGTTCTTAATATAAGATCTAACTACTATCTCCGGTCTTTAATATAAAATCTCGTTTGATTTTTATTTTGGTTCTAAATACAAGCCCCAATTTACTTTATCTCTAATGTTTGTGTATTTTTTTTCAAAGTAGTCCTTCCAATAATGATAGTCATAACCAACACACTTGATTAGTAAGGATATTTTAAGAAAGACGATACCTATTTATTACAAATAACTAACTTAACTTATTTTCTTAATCTCCTCAAATCAGTCAACTAGCTTTTATAATGAGGACCGGAGGTAGTATTTAGTTAATTTTAGTTCTAAATATAAGATATATTTCTCATATTTATTAATTTTTTCTAAATTACCCTTATGGATACTCCCTCAACCATAATCAAGTAAGTGAGGGAGAGAAGATATCAAGAAAGATGATTATAGTGTTTTAAGAAAAACATATCATATTTCTTATACTTAACTAACTTACCTAGTTTCTTTAATATAATCAAATTAATTAAATAGGTATTATATTAAGGATCAGAAGAGCATATTCTAACTAACTCGTGATTTTTTTTGGGGGGGCAGGACAATTTTTCGGCCCAGGAACATTTATACTGTTCCAATTAGACGCGTTAATTTATTCATAAAATCTTTAAATTTTTTTAATGCAAGGGTTCATATCCTGTTTAGTAAAAAAAAATATATATATCCTGTTTAGTAATTGCCGGTTCTGCTGGATAAGAAAATTATTTAAATCCTGAATTATTCTAAGAAAGATACATTTTTAATGCAACAAGTTGTTCTTTCTACTATGGATTTCAATGTTTTCCTCCGCCCATAGAACCATCCATGGCCTGACAAGAGCAAGTGAGTTTTTTTGTTGCTGTTCAAAATAAAGTCACATGTGTTACCAAAAAAAAAATAAAGTCACGTGTTAATCGGCTGGGCCCGTTTCTTGTTTGCAAAAACTTTGGACCTTCTCCTATTTGGACGAAGTCCCAATGAACATTCCCGGCCCATTGTTTGAAGTTTTTCCCGGCAAAAATCTCTCTGTAAATTGAAGAAATCAAGATATTCTGATAAATTATTTTGAGCAGCATCTAAAAAGAACTAGATTTGTGATATATGAGAGAAAATGTTTACAAAAACACAGAGATACATAAAGATATGATAAAATCTAGAAATAACTAAATAATAAAAATTTGTATCATTTTAACCAAATGTAAAATAATTTTTTTGCTTTTCATAAAATATTTATGAAATAAACCAATTTTCATAAAATCTATAAATTTTTTTTTTTTAAGCTCAAGCAAAATTTAAGATGCTCTCTGAACAATAATCAAAATATAAAAATGAACATTGTCAGATAATGTCATTAGATTTAGAATAAAATACTCTAACTACTCTTCTAGTTTGTATCAATTACACATGTCTCTCATCTATTTTATTATAACTGAAAGGCAAAAACAAAGAAAAACATGTATCCATACACTTGTCAGATAAATATCGATTGCGCTATTAAAATGTTAATTTCCTATCAAATTCATCATTCATTATTTTATATATAAAACTTTCGGTCAATTAAGTATTGTTCACCATGGCTTGAGTATTTCATAATCGCTCTAAATATCTCAATATTAAATTGAACAAAGGTAATAATAATAATAAAAGTCCCGACGAATCCAGCTCTGCAGGAAGCCAATCATCCATCCAACTCTAACCACTACTGAAAGACAAATAAATATATCCCAACAGAACCACTTCAAAAGGAAAGAATGATAAAATAATACTCAACAGACAAAAATTAAAGAAGCATTTTTCCTTTTAATTTTTCTTTTTTTGAAGTGTTAGCAATAGAAGACAAAGGACGTGTTTGGATCCAAACTGGAGATGAACAGGCGCCACATAACCCTCAGCTTTGGCCGGCACACGTAGTCTTCTAGTTTACGAACGTGCCAAATCTATCTTTCCAGATAACCAATACTCAGCTTCACCTCCCCGTTACAGAAGCCGATAGACAGTCCAACCACAGATTGACACCTCACCCGAATACCCCGATACCAAAACTCCTAACACCACGCGGCGCTTTAGCATCGGCCCTTATGACTTCCTAAAGCACCGCATCTATTTATGGGATTCATTTAAAACTCGCAGAACGGGAGGAAGAGTACGCGAAGATGAACTCTGAGATTTTGATAAAAATCTTAAACAGCCTCAGCCCTCTGCTCCGAGAGTTGCATTCCGTAAGTGACAGCCATGGATGCAGACTTATCAAAGCAGGGTTACGACTGTGAAGAAGACGAGGGGGCGTCGAGCCCTTCTGCTTGTGGATGCTTCAGGCGAATAATATGCTCTCCGTGGCGGCGCTCCGCTGGATATGTGTTGCATCAGAAGGAGGAGGCGGAGGAGGGAGAAGAAGAAGTAGGAGGAGGATCTGTGAAAGAGAAGTGGTGGGAGAAGAAGATGAAGAAGGTGAAGGAAATATCAGAGATACTGGGAGGGCCAAAGTGGAAGAACTATCTGAGATACAGATTCAGATTCAGAATGAGTCAGAAAATGAAGAGAATGCAGTTTCAGTATGATCCGAAGAGTTATGCACTGAATTTTGACGAAGGGCATGTTGAGTTTTCAGCTCGATTCGCAAGTCCCGTGGACACTCGAGAATAATATGGGGTCATGATAATATTATATATATATATATATATATATATATATTCAACTCTCAGGTGTTCTCTCTCTTAACTTTGTAATTATTTTTCATGAATTCCTTTAACCCTCGCTGTGGCTGGGATTAATTATTTCATTTGCACGTAACATTTCGGCCAAAAATATATTTGTACATATCATCTCTTTCTGAGTTGTAATTATCTCTCCTTTAATCTCTTTTAGTGTAATTGGTATATCTCTTCTCATTAATATAAGACTTAATTATTGAGTTAATTTTAATCCTAAATTTATCATATTTATCATTTTTTCTTAAATTACTTCTGTGAATACTCCTTCACTCATAATCAAATAAAAGATGGACGGAGGATATTAAGGAAAATGATTGTAGTGTTTTAGGAAACACATGTCATATTTCTTATAAATAACTAACTTACTTAACTTTCTTAATTTAATCAAGTTAGCTAAATAGGAGCTATATATATTTGTATATAAATTTATTTATTTTTATACCATGCCAGCAGTGACGTATGTATATTTTTTAATATTATGAGCGGTTTAATTATTTCTGACATCCATATCACCCCATTTTTATCGCGTGAAGTAATTCCAACTGGTTTGGCCTGAAGTTATCTTCCATCAACATGATAAGATCCTTTTTGCTCTTTGCGAAATACTGATATTTTCATATGGTCTTGCCTTTCGTAAGCTGTGTATGTTTTTGTGTGTGTGTATGTGTGTTTGTTTGTTTAGACTTCATTGTACATAATCTCATTGAATTTTAGGTCGTGCGTACGTAGATAATCCTCATGATTTTAAAAACAAGAAAAAGATATCTCAATGCTTTTAATTTATGTTGATCACTTCAACGCTATTGTTTATTATTTCACTGATATAATAAGGCAATATAACAGCTAATTTTTCAGCATATATAAATTTAGGAAAGTTATTTTGCATATACCTGAAGGAGTAAGAAAGTGATTTGTTGTTGGGAAAAAATAAAAGGATTTATTAAAAATAACAGGAGGGTTAAAAGGGGAGATGGTAATTAATAGTGTAATGATATTGCGTTTCCATTAACGAAACAATTACTCCTCCGGTCCTTAATATAGGACCCAATTGTTGAGTTGGTTTTGGTCCTAAATATAAGACCCATTTCTCATATTTATCAATTTTCTCTAAATTACCCCTATGGATACTCCCTCAACCATAATCAAGTAGAAGAAGAAGATGGGTATTAAGAAAGATGATTATGGTATTTTAGGAAAAATATGTCACATTTCTTATAAGTAACTAACTTACCTAACTTCCTTAATCTAATCAAATTAGTTAAATGGGTCTTATATTAAGGACCGGAGGAGTACTTTTTATCCAAAATCTTTATTTTTTTGGCCAATCTGATTAAATATCTATTTTTGCAAAATATGTATGAGCATAAAATCTACCGGAAACGTTTACAATCTGATTTCTCTAAAATAGCAAATGCAAATATTTATGTGAAATATTAACTTTAAAGTGTTCAGATTAAATTATATCCCCAAGGTTAAAAAAATTAAATTATATCCCGATCCCATGGGCAAACGCGGAAAGTTAAATTAATATTTATTCTATATATATTTATATAAAGACGCACAAAGCCTTTCGAAATTCATATTTTGATTTGTTATATGAATCGGAAAGCAGAGAGGGGAATGAGGGAAGAATCATCAAAGCAAGAGGAAGCGAATACGAGTTACGATGATGATGAACAGCAGGTGTGCACGCCCAGGGTGTCTTGCGGGTGCTTCCTCGTATCAGACGGATATACGCTGTTTCATCATCAGAGCAACGACGACCAAGAAAACGAACAACAAGCGAGAGACAACTGGTGGCACAGGCAAATGAAGAAGATGAAGACCGATTTTCTGCGATACAGAGCCAACAAGAAAGCCAGGAGATTGCGGTTTCATTATGATCCTAAGAGCTATGCTCTTAATTTTGATGATGCTGCTGCCGCCCACAACACTACCAGTCATCACCATGCTGCTTTTGTAATTTCTCACTAATTCAGGATGCTAATTAATTATTCAACATAACTAGATTTAATTCCTTTGTAACTGTATTTCGTTAATCCCTTCCATTGTCTGGGGATTTATATATTCATGTGTATGTTTATGAAACTTATCATGTTATACATATTCATTATTCTTTGCATTAATTGATCATGTTTATGACTAAAGGAATGATTCTAAATTTAATAGTAGAGGTAGCATAAATATTTTTGCACGTGAAAATAAACGTTCATAATTACATCTTTTTCTTTTGCCAACTATAATTGCATACCTAACAATAATTCAGGGTCCTGATAAGTTTTTTATTTTTATTTTTATTTGAGCCGAGATGAGATTCGCATTAAAAATATCGTAAATTTAAAATGGAAATTTTTTGTTGGAACGGAATTTAAATATGCTATTCAGGTTCCACGATATCGCCAGGGTCATGATATTTACTGCTGATAAGATTCTCTGGCCACTCGATGCAAATAATATCCTTACAATTTCAATATCAATCTATATATTATCTTTATAAAATATGCATGACCGTATTTAAAAATAAAAATATGTAGGAGATATATTATATCTTTTCTTGTTTGCCAACGATATACTCTTCCGGTCCTTATTATAAGACCCCATTTGACTTTTTATTTGGTCTTAATTATAAGACCCCAATCTATTTTGTCTCTTATATTTATGCATTTTTTTCCAAGATAATATTTCTAATAATGATAGTTTTAGCCAATATACTTAATTAGTAAGGATATTTTAGGAATGACAACACTTATTTATTATAAATAACCAACTTAACTTACTTCCTTAATCTCCTCAAATAAATCAATTGGGTACCGGAGGAGTATTATATCTTCTCTCTCCTATAAAAGATTTATTTCTCATTTATATTCTATATATAAAATAAAATCCTCACAGAGCAATATTCTTCTTATTAAAATCACTCCTCTCCTCTTCATAAAACCTATTAGCGTTGATTAGTAAACACCCCCCGGCATTTTCCCCCCTTTTTCATTTTTCTTTTCTTTTCATTTTTACACAGGGATTGATGAACTCGGAAAGATGAAACCAACAAATAACTAACATTGACAACGTGAAACGAACATTACCCCTTTGTCCCCTTTTAATCGTAATTACTATACATCTAACAGCAATGACACCAACCTCCTTGAAATTATATGTTTCTCAGAGGATATAAGTTCCTAGAATCTTCCATTATTTATCAACCAAATGTTGTTTGCTTAATTATGGCGTTGCTTCTACTAACATCTTTTTCTTTAACCAAATTCTCTAATTACGGCGGACATACGCGTTCAATGTTGCGTTTCGTCCAAAGAAAACGAACCCACACACTATAAAATCAGTGGTTACACACAATACTTCCTGACGCACTTCCTTAAAAAACCCGAACTTTATTACTTATTCATGCAAATGATTACAAAATTTTAAACCATGCGGCACTTCCCTATGAAGGATCATCACACGCCATAAACTCGAGAACTGCAAATATTAAGTACTTACTGTATGCGGTATAACAATTTTACTACAACCTGAAAATTCAGAAAACTAAACAAAACAGTATGATTGTAAGGAAAAATGCACAGATTATGACTGTACACCCACAGCCCCCGACTTCTAATCGTATGCATATAATATATATATTTCACAAACATTATATAATATGCGAAAAAAATCATAAGCCCGCGGAGTAATCCTAATCGACTTCGCTATAAAATTTGTAATTGAACCTCCTAAATATGTCGCTCCCCCCCACCCCCAACATGTACTGATCAAACTAATCTATACCCTACAGACTGCGAGGCATGAGTTAAAATGGCTGATGAAGATTATAATAGCTCCTTACTCTGTTTCCCCAGTCAGACCAATGACAAGTCTGCTTCTTTCTCACTCCATTTCCAGGCAACAAGACCGATCCAAGAGAAAGAATGAATGAGGTATACTCAGAGATCCTTCTAGTTTTTCCTCCGTTTAAATGTAACGATCCGCGTTACTGTTATCACCTGCATTACTTCTTTTCAAATTAAGGTTGGGAGAAAGCTTGTGAATATTTTGGAGAAATTAAAAGGGGTTTATTTTGACGGATATACCTTTTGCGCTTGCTCTTCAACACCGTTGAGGTGGAGGGATTGCTGTGCCAGTTTCTCTTCCTTTGGTTGATGAACCAATTGTTAATCTGCTTCAATTGCAAGCCAGTTTCCTGAACCAACCTTGCTTTGTCTTCCTCCTGAACAGAGCATCACATTAATTTCAAATATTAAAAAAAGAGGTCATACGTGAAACTCTCAGAGATCTTCAATTTGGATTGTTTACAGTTTAACAGTGCAAAGTAAGCTGATATTTCAGCTCAAGTGTGGATAGCTAATATTGTTTACATTATGGAACAAATGTGTACGGGGTATGTAGTTGGGGTCTGATTTGACAAACTTACTGTAGGGTAAGGCCACTTGGCATGTGACTGCCACCAAGTTTTAAGAACGGAGGTGGTGTCACCAGGAAGTTTCCCAGCTCGTCTCTTGCGCAAAATTTCCTCTCTTATGTCCACAATTTTCTCCTTGTAGCCCTAAATTTCGAAAGTAGAAAAAGCAAAAAAGAAGTTAGGCCAAAGAGTCACATGGGAAGAGATTCAAAAGAAGATGGGAACCAACACCGCATTAATTACCTGTTTGAGTTCGTGCTTTAATTCCTGCCTTACACGCTCCATGAGGGACCTCTCGTTCTCCGTTGGAATCAGGGGACCAAATCCCATGTCTGAACCATCCAAACTACCATCAAACAGGTTGGCATCACTGTCCACCTGATCGTCTTCATCATCTGACATTGTTGCCCCTGTGCCTTCTCCCGGTGAAACTCCTGTTCATGCACCATGTGCCCACAATTATAACTTTACCACTCATCAACTTCAAATATGAGCCATCAAGTTGGCTGATCTAAGGGTGGACGACTTTGTTCAGAGTACTACTATACTACTCGTAATACGTGCTCAAAACTGTATCATCGCTCTGTTTGTCCTAGAGGCAACAAGCCGTCAATGCTCATCTAAGACTAGAAAATGCCAAACATAGTGTATCATCTACTTCTTTTATATACCATACAGAGAAATTTGAAGTTATCTGGCCCCTTTATTTTTTCCCCTGCAATTTGCTCGTTAGTTAGGTATGTCATTTGCTGGCAGTTCTCAGAAGCTGGAACTAAGCCACAAAAATTTAGAAGTGCAGTATTCAGAAGTATTTTTCGCTAGAGTTGCAAGGAAAAGATGACACAGCACCGCTAGTCATAATTGCCCAAGGATTTTCAATATGCAGCAAACATAATTGTGATTGAAAAGGGGAAACGTGACAAACCGCTGGCTCAAAAAAAACATGGAAAGACTAACTTCCTTCTAGCATGCAGCAGCCAGATTAGAGTTACTCTAAGACGAAACAAACACTAGAAGAGAACTTTCGAACCTGTTAGACTTTGTAAGGATTGCTCTATCTCCCAACAAGCCATCACTGCTTCCATTGCATGGACCCTGACGTGTTGTTGAAGTTGTTCTTTGAATGAACAAAGCAACAAGACATAGTGCGACTGCAGCATCGACAGAGAAAATATCAAGCTCTGTAACCTTGTATAGATATCATGGTAAATAAACTTCTTTAACGTCCACCAGCTTTGCCTATCATGGCTCGAATGACAAAGCTTAATATGTCAGAATATTACTGACTATGGGCTTAATTTCATTCCGTTCCCCAGGATCACTGGATTTAAATCGCAAGTTAATTATTGAAAGCATGTAGTAGAAAAATGGGAGCATAACCCAAATCTAAGAAAAATGTATTGCTGAATAATTCATAAATAGAAGATAATCCCCTCACAAGGATGTGTAATTGGAAGAAGAAAGTGTAAAAGACTTGAGAAACTAAACAAATAAACAGAAAATTTCAACAAAACATTTCTTATCGGAGCATCAGATAAATCTTCTTCGAAGGTCTATTCCGTCTAAGATGGAGATTAAAGATTTTCCAAGTCGATTTGCTTTCCATTAACATATTTATGTAATATCTCCGGCACATTAATGATAGATTTTACTCCTGCTGCATTTTCATGTGGAGTGAAAAAACCCTGTTTTACATCCAGTTCCCAAATTGGGATGAAAACGTCCAATATTTTTAAGCTTCCTCATTTAGTTTCCATTGATCATAAATTCAAATTCATCTCGCTTGAACAATCATCCAAAAGGACGTCAGATTTAAATTCTCCACAGCAAGCAATTCAAATTAATATTTTATCTGGAAACTAGAAAGTTTTTTAATGAGCTCCAATTAATAGTGCTTTCCAACCCTTGATGCAAATAGCAACAACCAACTTTTGATTAGCCTCAAAGAAAAGTTTAATTGATTAATAGATAAATGACAGAGGATTCTAGAAGATACCATGAACTGATCGAGTTCCTTATCGTCCCCAACCATGCTCTGGCTCCCGTGTCCCAACGCCGAGTACTTGGCAACCACATTCTGCGACTGAGCCAGTTGAGCATCGATCCTCGGCAGCTGGTCAACCGGCGTGGCGATCCGCAGGCACGCCACGTGTGCCGATAGCAGCTGTTCGTACAGCGGGTGGGCAAGAATCTCCGCCTTGAAGCGAGCATTCTGCCAGTTCATCAAACCGTCCCCGGTGGCGCCGGAGCTGTCCACCACCACCGCCTCGCCCTTGCTGTTGAGGTTGTCACCGGTCGCCTTTAAATCCGCGGACTCATGGGACAAAGTCGCACCGGCGATGATAGAGTCCCCGGCGGTGACGTCGTCAATGACGTCGCTATGATTCCGGTGGAGGATCGGGCGTGCCAGCCATTGGCTGGAGGATTGGGAAGCAGCTCCGGTGGAGTCGGAGGCGGCGGTATGGAGGTTGAGGAAATTGGTGGCGTTGGTATTGTTAGGAGCAGTTCTGTTACTGTTGTTGCCGTTGTTATTGTCGGTGTAGTGAGTTCGGAGGAGAGCGTTGTTGAGCCAATTGGGAGCGGTTTGAAGCGGGTGGTGGTGTTGGTGGGGATCGGAGCCGGCCTTACTGGTCGGGTCCTGCAATATCGTCCGCAAGGAGTTATCAGTCAGCGCCTGGTTCTGCTGCTGCTGGTGATGAGATTGCTCTGTGAAATGGTGGAGCGGCAGGTCTTGAGAGAGATGATGGTTGTGGTACGCCATATAAGAAACACAGCCTCAGAGCACGCGACCTCAATATTTCGCCGTGAGTTCAGACCATCTCTCCATGAAGAAGGAGTGTTTGGCGAAGCAGGTGAAGGATTACAAAGAGAGATGTGGCGTGTAGTTTTAGACAGGGAAGAAGGCAGGGGAGGAGGAGGAGAGAGAGGAGTGCAGAGAGGGAAGAGATGAGGGCTTACTATAAACGGATATTAATGGTTCCAAAATAGAGAGGATAGTGAGACCCCGGCAAGAGGCGGTTTTGTCCTTATCGTAGCGGTTTTCAGATGTCTCTTGTATTATGTCTGGTCGGAAAACTGCTTTTTGGTATGTAAGGCCCTCCTCGTTCGTTGATTATTTACTCATTTTTATACTAGTTACCCGCTTACCATACATGATTTTTATTTTTATTTTATTTATATTTGTCGCCGTGATACGTCTGTGTGTTTTTAATTTTTTTAAGCAGCAAAACTCCCCCCAGCATATGGTTTTGCCTGGCTGATTTCTTGGGGTCATTATGGTTCAGCTCTTTTTATTCTCTGCTCTTGGAATGAATCATTTATGACTTCTAAGGGCTCTTTTTCAATGGTAATTTACAAAATTATGCTTATAAACACTTAAGCAGACCAATCCAAATATTTAAATAAGCCAATCCGCACTAAGTGGTTAAGTTTAATTTATGGCTACTAAACCTCTGGTTAAAAAATGTACCTCAAGTCGAATATACTCTTCCGGTTTTTAATATAGGACCTAATTCTTGAGTTGATTTTGGTTCTAAATATAAGACTCATTTTTCATATTTAGCAATTTTCTCTAAATTACCCATATGAATACTCTCTCAACCATAATCAAGTAGAAGAGGGAGAGAGGAGGAGTATTAAGAAAGATGATTATGATGTTTTAGGAAAATTGTGTCACTTTTCCTGTAATTAACTAACTTACCTAACTTTTTTAATTTAATCAAATTAGTTAAATGGATCTTATATTAAAGACCGGAGGAGTATTGCTTACCTGGTGAACAGTCGTTGACTGCTGGATCGGCTATCATAAATTAGGCATGGGAACATAGTTAACGGTCAACCATGGCCACAGATTTCTGAAATATTTTTCTAATTTATTTATAAGTGAGTTTTAATATATTTTATATAAATTAATATTTAAAATAATAAATGATATATTTTACACTTTATTTAAAATTTAACAATTTTTTAACTTTATATTTTCTTAATATATATTATATCTTATACAAACAAAGTTAATATAATAATAAATGAAGGGTAAAATTATATATTCATATTAAAGAAATTTCAATACCCTGTAAATAAGAATAAAAAATATCTTCTATTTTTGCTCTATAAGTAAGACCAAAAGAATATAAACTTTGCGTGATTAATTATTGAATTGTGACGTTGGACAACTCAAGTTCACTCTCTGGCGCAAAAAATAAAAGAAAAAATTATTGAAAAATCCCTACTTGCAGCTTTTTTCTTTTTTTCTTTTTAAGGAGGAATTCAATTGTTGGAGTATAATTCATGGAGAGTGGCGTGCAGGTCTTCTTCAATTTTGCACAAATTTCTTCTATTTCACACACACTGTTGAAGATAAGTTACACCTAACTGAAGCATGGTTGCATTGAGTTTTTAAACAAATTTCATATTCATTTGAATAATGAATATTTGCATGAGAGATTTTGTAACAAATTTTTCGGATGAAAAATATTTCATAATACAAGACGGAAGAATAACAAGAGTTTATTTGAATTGAATGGTTACACTTACATGGATTACTATTAATATTACACTAACATGATTTTCCGACTAAAAAACACGTGTAATTAAAAATTATAGAGGATGAGTTATCCAAAAAAAGGTTACAGAGGGGCGATAGTATTGAACAAGATACAGTGTTGTTAATAATTAAAATAGTTCGCTGACGTGTCAGCCTACGTAACATGTTGTAGAATGAAACAACTCGATGCAATGAAGCCTTACCCCTATAATCATCATATAAATTAAGATAGTACCGTTCATTATTAAATAATTCATCCATCCACTGTTCTTTTTTTAAAAAAAAAAAAAGAATAAGGAAGGAATAGAACCGTCAAAACGGGCCAAGCCCATCGGGCCAGCCCTTTTAAGCCCTTTTAAATGGAGGGGGGGTTGTATTTTAGGTGGTTTAAAAAGAAATTGGGCTTAAAAGGGCTAGCCCTATAGGGCTCAAAAATAAAAGGGCCAAACCCTTTAGGGCCAAGGGCTAGCCCTTTTAAGCCCGTCTATTTTTTTAATTATTATCAATATATTTATAAAGTTATAGATTAGTCTTTTATGAATATGTTTAAATTAGAAAAATACCTAGAATAGTCAATACTCAAGCTAGATAATTGAAAAGAATTAAATGTCTTGGACTTGTGGAAGAACAATTAAAATCAATTTTCAATTCTTTCAAGAATGGTAACTGATATTCTTAATATTTTAATCACCATAATAGCTAATAGATTTTCATTTACCATCGGTTTACATATTTTAACAAAGTGTAAAACTTTTCTTATTCGACCAAATGTTCAGGTTCTTATTTGTACTTATAACTACTAATAGTTTTATTTTAGATAAGGTAAATGAAGACAAAAACCTTAATATTTTTATCACTGAAGAAGAGCTCACTTGTAGTAAAGAACAATCAAATATTGCTGATCTTGATGATATTGATAAAGATGAAGATAAAGATAATAATTATGTTGATATTGTTAATCTTTAACTACTAGGTTTTATCTTTCTGTTTTTTGTGTTTTGTTAGATTTTGATTTTTTTTTATTTTGGACAATAGTTTATTGGCATTTAATTTTTTTTTTTCTATACACCACTAATTTATTTTACTTATATTTATAATTTGATAAAAAATCTTAGAAGTTTTGTTGTTTTATTTTTTATTTTAAAATAATTAAAAAGAATTTAAATTTTAAAAAATAACATAAAAGGGCCAGCCCTTTTAAGCCCTGAGCCTACATGCTTAAGGGCCGGATTTTAATAATTAGATAATTTTAAGGTATGTGGGCTTTAAAGGGCCGGCCCTTTTAGGCCCTGGCCCTTCAAGGGCTAGCACTTTAGGGCCGGGCTGGCCCTTATGGACAGCTCTAGGAAGGAAGGAAGGAAGGAAAGAAAGCGGGGGACGAAAAGATGGTTGCTTTGTTTGGGCGATGAGAAAAGCCAAATAAGGAGGAGGGGATGAAGAAAAGCCAACGGAAGTTTTGTATCTCGTGGATTGGTGCCACGTAGATCTCCTGTCTCATCTAAAGGCCAGGAAGTGTCCCGTCCCCAAACTTTTTTCATATTTTCTCCCGCCAGCGTTTGCGTTTATTAATTACTGAAAAATAATTAAACGTGCGGAACCACCCAGGCGCGTGATGCACAGGGAGGCGTTTCTTCTCTGCAGGCAAAATTACGGTAAGCAGCGTACTACATACGAGTAATTTTTGGACAATTAATTAATACTCCTCCTATCCTTAATATAAGATCCATTTAACTAATTTGATTAGATTAAAGAAGTTAAGTAAATTAGTTAATTATAAGAAAAGTGACACATTTTCCTAAAACACCATAATCATCTTTTTAATACCCCTCTCCATCTTCTACTTGATTATGGTTGGGGGAGTATCTATAGGGGTAATTTAGAGAAAATTAAAAAATATGAGAAATGGGTCTTATATTTATGACCAAAACCAACTCAAAAATTGGGTCCTATATTAAAGACCAGAGGAGTATATTGATTTGAATTTTAGTTTAAGGGATGTTTGAGAACAATAAATTATTTTTGTACAAATTGAAATAAAATTTTTTATATTCTTATTTTGCATACTATAAAATTATAATTTAATTTTCACATACAAGCGTAGCTGTGGGGTGGACAACTGGCGACGCTGTAGTGGCCGTAAAGCAATAGTTGACCAACGCTGACTAGCTCTCCAAAAGCGTAAAAGCTATGTAGGCCACTACCAGCTAGCTACGGGGTAATAGTCTTGTACTCCCTCCTCTCCTAAGCTCCCCTTGATTCGCTGGAATCGAACGCTACTTGCCAATTGAAATTAGAATCCCGTGGGACTTTACTGTTTCTAATGATTTATAAATAAATAATTTTATAATCATAATTTATAAAATATAAAATAACCTTACCAAAAAAGTTTTGTTTTATTTTATGTAAAACGTATTTTATAAATGATTTTGAACATGATTATAAACAAGGCTTAGAAAATTATATAGTTTTAATCCCGTCAAACACATCCCCAGCAGCATCATTATCCCATCAAGAACCTTCCATATTGTGATCTATGTTCACCTGTCAATGCCAGTTTCCATTCCATTTCTCCGTTATCCATCAGTCCTCCGTGCCGGATGGAATAAAAAATAAATCGTTATGCATTTGTCACCATGTTGGCACTTATCAAATTACTTTTCTGATCCTTAATATAAAATGTAATTAATTAATTTAGAGATATTAAAAAAATTAATTAAGTTAGTTATTTGTTATAAATAGACGTTTGTCTTTCCTATAATACCCTTACTAATCATTTATATTAGCTAGAATTATTGTTTGATGAAAATTTTAACATGTACAACGACTACAATGACTATTTTGAAAAAAATAAATAAATATTAAAGACAAAATGAACTGTAGTCTTATATTTAGAATCAAATTAAAAGTTAGACTAGCTCTTGTAATAAAGAAAGGAGGTAGTAGTAGTAATTAAGAACGGAGATTTATAGTGAATGATTATACTCTCAAGCGAGCCATTAAGAAATTTTTCAAATTTAGTACTCGCATGACACGAATTTTTGTTTTGTATAAAGCAAGTTTGCAGCTAATATATTTAACATGATTTATTATTCATACCACGTAAATTTACCAGTGCCATGGTTATCTGCTGTTAGTGTCATTACATATGAATAAAAAAAAAATTGTGAATCTGATGTTAGGCATGATTCCCCGTTCTAAATCAGTCAATCTCTTGTGATTTTGTCAGGATTATATTACACCCCCTCTGCAATACACAATGATGAAGGAGTTTTTTTTTTTTTTTTGGGGGGGGGGGACTGCTCATTCGCTTCAGTTTAGAAGAAACGTGATTTTTTTTTTTTAAACCGAATAGAAGAAACGCAATCAACTCCTATGATCTTTTCTTGGCAAACTCATATGAATTAGGAAAAGGCAAGTTAGTTACCTATAAAATAAATAAATATTTCTTCGATTTTAAATATAAAAT